TTGGTTCCATCATAAACAATGAAACGCTTCAGTCATCATTTGAAGATCCAGATCTTGAAGTGATTTTTAAAGATAAATTTGGACCTACATTAACAAAATGCTTATTAATTTCATGCCACATTACATGAGACTCATCAATTTTAACATCATTTATCATGAAATGTTCGATATTGTCTTTCTGTTTTTTTTTTATTTATTATATAAGAGGGAATTTATTACATTCCAGACTGTTTTTGCAGTGCTATTGAGAAAATGATGATCATAATATTATGATATAAGTGCTAAAAGAGACACTTCATTTTGTGAGAAGGGAAGTTTGGGACACGACGCCGAAGGGTGAAAAACGGATAATCCCAATTTCTGGTAATCAGAACATCGAATGGTTTATAAGTTCGAATCACCGGAAGAACAAAGAATTTTTAGATATAAAATGAGTTATGAATTATAATTTTCGTAGCCATGGCCGGAGATGATCCCGTATGATTCGCTGTTGCGTTCCAATTAACAGTGCTGCTCCTTAGGTGGCGCATGGTGTTAGTAATAAAGCCTAGATAGAACACTAATGAGCTGAAGAACCTCTCGTAAGGTGGATGGCCAGTTGGTATACGAATACATATACCTACCTACTCACTTACCTTATTTAAATGCAATGAATGAATATTAGTAGTAGTAGTATATGTACTCGGTTGGTTTATGTATGCTCGAAAGGTAAATTAGACGAATCAAACAAGTGGAAATGATGAACTTGAGTGTGACAACTACTACCAGCATACGACTCCACGTCTGAGATCTCTAACATACGTTCAGCTTCTCGGACATGAACGAACTTCACATATGAGCTCTATAGGAAAATCGATGTATGATGTGTTTTCTTGAGTAGACCACGATAACTTTGGGATAGCAGGTGGTCGCGTATGCATTAACTTTGCATAAGCGTTGCGTCACGCTATTTTTTGCAAAGTACGCAACTTTGTCAACGTCAAGAAAATCCTAGGTTTCATCAGAAATCTTGGGTTATAGATGACCATTATTAGATGAGGATAATCTAATTGTCGCTTCTTCGTCGTTTGGCGGAAGGCTGGTATCTTGAAGGATCTGGTTCTGGAGGTGGTGATGTTGCGAGTGGAGCAGATCGTGTTCTCTCCAGGTTACTCCCATCCTATATCTGGTGATAATAACTTGTTTTTTTCCTCCGCTATCGGATAACATGCGGCAAGTGTGAAAAACAGTATTCTACCTATTTGATGTAAATATACCTAAGTATTGTGACAAATCAAGAATCGAGTTACACACTGACAAAAGCGATACTCACATGTCCATGACTCCTCCACATCAGACAGTGTAGTTTGTTTTTTCTAGAAATGCGTATATTATGAATTATCTACGAGCACCGACGAAGCTTTTTTGCAAGATACGCAAATTTGATATATTCTTAACTTGTTCTAGCTCATCACCCATTAGTCCCACACTCATGAGAAAGAACAATTATGTGTCGAAAATTCCATCTACTTACTCAACTTTGTATCGGGTTGCTTCTTAGTTCATTCTTTTGACAGAATTTCGCTTCGTGTGATACAGAACAACGATGTGCCCCTAATTCATTTTTAAACTTATTCGTTTTGTGTTCAAATCCATAGATAGATAGATAGATAGATAGATAGATAGATAGATAGATAGATAGATAGATAGATAGATAGATAGATAGATAAAATTTATTTAACCACGTTACACAAAAAAATTCTATGTTTGTAGCAGGTCAGATACAAGATACAAGTAGTGTTATATTGTTAAGCTCACATATTAAAAATAAAAAGAACATGGAAGTTAACAAATTACAAGTTTAAAAATCTAAAATCACAATATTAAAATGTTCCATAAGAGAAAAAAGTCAATACACAAGTAATGAACACACTAAATGAAAGACAACAAACAAACCAAATTTGGACAGCTAAGGAGATGTGAGTTGTTTGTGAATGCGAAAATGCTCTCTGAAGTCATCTACTGAGTAGAAGCAATGTCTCAATAGATACTTTTTAAGTTGTTTCTTGAAGGAATTCACACTGAGCACTCTGAGATCCTGTGGCAAAATATTATACATAGAAAAATCTAGGGTATTTTTTGGGATAATTGAAGACGATATCGTTTTAGTCTGATCTGATGACATTTTCTTGTATTATGTTCATGAATATGAGATTGTTTTATCATACATGACTGCTTTTTGTGCATCTCAACCATAGCACAGTATATATATAGAGTTGGCAGTGGCATAATTCCAAGTTTTTTGAAATATTCTTGGCAGTGATCCCTGTATTCGATTTTAGCTAGAATTCTCAAAGACTTTTTTTGCATCCTAAAAATGTGTATAGCATGACATGAATTTCCCCATAGTTGTATACTATAGCTCATATGAGAGTGAAAGAGGGAGAAATATGTGGTTTTCTGTGTACTGGTGCTGGTGAATTTTTTCAACTGTCGAAGAACAAATAAAGAACTTGAAAGTTTCTTTTTTAATACAGTAATATGAGCAGACCAGCTGAGTCTACTATCTAGTGTGATGCAAAGCAGTTTAACTTGATTACTCTCAAAGTTAGAAACAGTTTGATTGTTGGCAGAAATTTGAATGCATTGAGTCTTATCGCCGTTAAGTTTAAGCTTATTTGATAAAAACCACTGATTAGCACTATTCGAAACCTCGTCAACCGTAAGCTGTAAGTTATCATTATTGGTATTTGGTAATATAAAAGTAGCGTCATCTGCAAAAAGGACTGATTTGAACGGTAGCATATTATTGCACAAGTCATTAACGTATATGATGAATAACATCTGTGGCAATGTGATATATTGTATTTATATAATTTTAAATTTTGTCAACCGACAAACAATATTTTATTATCATTCGTCATAATTTTCTCCTTTAGCTTTCCATTTATTTCTACGAATAATGTATTTGTACCTTCCCTCCCATAATATTTCATAGGCTCAATGTGGAAACTATCACCTTCTTGTATTATTTTGTTCAATGATCATATTCTTCAATTCTTTTTTTGATGTTATGCTTTCGAATTTTATATTTGCTATTTTCATTATCGACTTAATCAACTTCAAACACTGTCTGCATAGGTTAATCGAGGAGGTGGTACATTTATTAATTGTTCCAGATTATTCGGGATTTTCTCTCCTCGTCTCTATAAAATAAAAATTATCAATATTATTTCAATATACGTGTAGTAAGGATAAATCAGAAGATATGCCTCAAAATGTCACTGCGTTTAAAAAAAAATTCCTATCAGAGAGCCTAAAAGAAGAATTCACCAGCTTGTCAGTGACAATTTGTATTGAAAAAGGTTTGGAGAAGAGAAAGAAAGGTATATAGAAAAAATATCCACTTTTTACTTATCTTTTCCTCCATTATTCCAGTACGTCCAATGACAATAAAACCAAGGTCTGTCACTCATCAAGTTCACAACACGACATGTCGCAGCGACAATGGCTGCTTATCAAAATGTAATCTGTATTTTACTCTCCTTTTGGGAAACACATTTCAATATGTTTGTACCGTATCTTACCATAATGTCGATAGTTTTAAACTGGACCACAGATATTTTTATGGACAAATTTTCTTGTTAACCTGACGAGTAAGTAACCTCACTTCTATCAATTTCCAATTTCGTATTTAATTTTCGATTTCATGATAATGTATTTTTCAAAATCATGAGTTCATCAACAAGTAATTTTTTCATTTTACTTGATTCTTTGGGATTTTCTCTCCTCGTTTCTATAAAATAAAAGTATTCGTATTATTTCAATATATTTTTAGAGGGACAGATCAGATGATTTGCCCCAAAATGTCACTGCGTTTAACAAATTTTTCTATCAGGGAGTCTGAAAGAAAAATCCAGTAGCTTGTCAGTGACAATTTGTTTGAAAAATAGTTTGAAGGAAAGAAATATAAATATATTGAAAAAATACCGAATTTTTACTTTTCTTTGGACGTTTCGGGACCGATTCTGCTCCCGTTCTCAACATGTAAATGCAAAATCTGTTTCTGACAAGATACTGGATTTTTCTTTTAGACTCCCTGATAGAATAATTTGTCTCTCTACAAATATATTGAAATAATACGAATACTTTTATTTTATAGAAACGAGGAGAGAAAATCCCAAAGAATCAAGTAAAATGAATGTACCACCTCGATTAACCTACAGACAGTATTTAAATTTTTTTCAAATTTCCAATTTCTTTCCAATAGCTAAAAGCAGATTACTTACAGGTATGCACTGATGATGACTCAACAGTCGAAAGCGCTCTGCTACGAGTAATAAATTTGAATAAAATATCTTGCACCAAATACAACATTTCCCTTCTTTGGTATACACGTGCACACAGCCAAGCAACCCTCATTCATTCTTTTTTTCTACAATTAGTAAATTTTTTTCTGATAATTTTTTTGAGCAGTCGAATTTCCTCTTTATGATGTTTCGTGCTATCAATAGTATTAAAATATTCACTTTCATAGCCCACTTGTGTATAATGAGCATTACAAATAAGGCATTCATCTGATTTATTTAAACCACTTCGAAAAGCACTTGAAATAAAACTTTGATTGCAATATTTGTGTTCTTCTGAGAGAAATGAATCTAAAATAACACCACTATGTGTCTTTTTATCACTTCTATTTTCACTAAACTTTTTCCTTCTCATTTCTGCTGAATTTCGATTAATATCTTGACATTTTTGAAAATGTCAAAAATATTTTCAATTTCGCACTCGAAATATCACTCATTTTTTCAAAATATCACTGTTCTTTTAGTTTTTATTGATCTATATTCCATATGAATGATTTGATCTGATTAAACACGATGGAATATTTCAACGATTCGAACCAAGTGATTTCATTATTTTTTCTGACACAAGATGAGAGCTTTAATACTTTATGTATCAATATACAGATAATACACGTGAAATCGAAAATACTTACCCCTATTATTTTGTTGTTCTAGACAGTTGTGGTGAGTCAGAATCAGATATCTTGTAGACTAGAAAAGTATTTTGCCTCACCAAATGAATTCATTCCTGAAAGATGGCTGAAAAATGAATCAAAATTCGAACAACCTCATCCTTTTCTTTTTCTGCCCTTTGGTCATGGTCCGAGATCTTGCATTGCCAGACGTCTTGCTGAACAAAATATGATTGTCTTGTTGCTAAAGGTGAGTAATAAACAGAACACTCCTGATAATTTGAATATTCCTGTTTTTTTTTTCAGTTGACCAGAAAATTCCACATTAGATGGAATGGAGGTGCCTTAGATTCTAAGTCATTGCTAATCAACAAACCTGATGGACCAATCAAATTGTCTTTTCATAAGAGATGATTTTGATTAAAGAATCTATTTTCTGAATATTTTGTATTTTTCTACAGAGACGTGCATAGGGAAATATTGACGGTAGAAGTGAACCCCTGATTCTTTCAATGTTCAAAGAATTTGATGTCAAAACAGATTGTTTGACCTATTGTAGTGACAACTCTAATCCAGAAATGGAATAATGCTGAAAAATATCTAGTGTTTGATTTGGCATATATGGGTGCACCACTGTAATCAGATCGATTTTGAAAAATACATCCTCTGTAGATACTACTTGATAACAATGTGAGTAAACATACTATCCATGGATAGTATGGATACCATTGAGTGTTTGTTGTGTGAATATTGTGGTCGTCAGAAGATATTCAAATCATGATTCATATATTCTTTGAGAACTTCTTTAATAACCGTTATTGAGATGTCTCAACTTTTTTATGGCGCTTTTGTGTTCCTCTTGATTCTAGGAGTCTTCTGGAATAAAAACAGAATATTGACAGAATACACGAAAGAAACAATCGAGTTCTTTCGGCTGCTCATACGCTGCTGACCAATGGCGACCACTGCGGGTTAGATGAATACTTCATCTGTTTATTTGTCATCGTGATTGTAGGATGTGGACGGGAAAGTAGAACCTTTCTTTAATTCTAACTTTGCCTCTTACCTTGTTTTCCTTATTGGTTAATTATTATATCGTTACGGGTCTATCAATCAATCAATATACTGTGCATTATTGTCCAAGAATAATATTTCTTATTGACAAAGCATGGTTCAAAATTATTCTAGTGGATTTCCACTGTGTCCAGTAGGAAGTAATATAATAATATGTATACATATATAAAAACAAATGAAGTCAACATTGTAAAAACATACGAAAAAATACAAATCGGTACATTATGTAAATTTGAACACACACCATTAAAAAAAGTAGTAAAATCATAATAATCTTGCTGAAATATGATACCTATATATGAGAATGAAACTTATGACAGAGTTGCAATCTAGAATGATAATATGCTCTTGGTAAGAGAAAACCCGCAACACTTTTTCTGAATTTTCTCAAATTCTTGATTGCTTTAAAATACTGTGGCAGATGATTATAAATTTTTTTGCTTTTGTAAATCACAGAATTTTTGGTAAGCGTTGTCTTTGGTATTGGTAGTTTAATATCATTTTTATTCCTAGTATATACATTTAGATCCAGAGAGATTCCACTAATTAGAGGCTGATTTTCGTGAATAAAATAAACAGTTTCCAAGATAAATAGGCACGTGAGTGTCAAAATTTTACAATGGATGAAAAGAGGTCTACAATGATCACTAGATCTAGCTTTACAAAGGTATCTCACTGCTCTTTTCTGTAGAACAAATACCGTGGACAGTAAATATTGACTACAAAAGTCCCAGAAAGCTATACCATTCTACGAGGGAAAATATGTATTTCTAGCAATATCAGAACCAAGCTCATTTGACATAATTCTAACAGCATAGCAACCTGACGCTAGTTTTTTTCTTAGTGACAAAATATGTTCATCAAATCTCAATTTGTTGTCAATGTGCAAACCCAAGAATTAAGTATTCGATTTGTTTTCAACCTGATGTGAACCAAGAGTGAGATTGTCAAATTTGAACTTGAAAGTTATGATCTTTGTCTTGTTGGTGTTGAAACAGAGATAATTCGAATTGCACCAAGACTTGACCTTGTTTAAGTCCTGTGAAATGACTTCTTCGAGCGTAGCTATATTTTTTCCATGCCATATAAGAGTGGTGTCGTCTGCAAATAGTGTGAATTTTCCGTAAGCAAGATCATTTAGATACAATAAGAATAAAATTGGGCCAAGCACTGACCCCTGAGGAACCCCTCTGATTTGATAATTGAACGATGTGAGCATTTATTAGAAATTTTGAGAATTTGTTTTCTGCCATGTAAATATGATTCAAACCATTCCAATGGAACCCCTTTGAACCCATAATGAAATAGCTTTCTCAGCAGTATGGTTATTATATTTGTTGAAACTTCTGTTCTTCTTTTGACTGTTTAATCTTCAACAATATTTCAATAAAAATCTCAGTGACAGACTTCTAACTTTTGACATCAATTTTAGTCACTGTCTACCGAATCCCTTTCAACATAAGATATATTTTTTTTTATCGCTTGGACCGCACGAAAGGGAATCCCTATAATGTTCAAAAAACATCGTGCGTTCCTAGGGAGGATAGGGATAGGAGGTAGGTATTGGATTTTTTTTGAACTTCTGGAGATTATATGTTGTTGGGAATACTTCCTCAGGCAATGAATTTCAGTGCCTAGCCGTTCTATGGATGAAGGAGTTTTGATAAAGTGCTGTACGACATCTTTCGAGGTTGACAACGAAAGGATGTGCTGACTGGGCTTGTCTAGTTCGTCTGACTGGAATTGCTAGTGAAGGGATGATAGAGATTTCCGAAGAACATTTCCCGTGGAAGTATCGATAGAAAAGTGAAAGGTCGCCGACCTTTCTACGGTGTTCCAATGATGTCAAAGAGTGAGTGAGTGTGGCGTCACCCACCAGGCGGATGGCTCTTCTCTGGATGGAATCTAAGAGCATCAGCGTATGTTTTGGTGCTGAACCCCATATGTGGTAACAGTATTCTAGAACAGGCCGTATCTGCGCTTTGTAGATCATGAGGAGCTGTTGAGGTGTAAAAAAGCTTTTCGCACGGAACAAGAATCCGAGTTTTTGTGAAGCAGCTTTTGCGATGGATCTGACGTGATTATCCCATGAAAGAGTGTTGCTGATGGAAATACCGAGCATAGATATGGTGGGCTTGGTGGGGATGGTGGTGCCAGACATTACAATGTCGGGCATACTGAGTTCCGCCTTTCTAGAGAAAATACAGGCTTGAGTTTTGGTGGCGTTGAATTCAACTAGTTTACATAATATTTTGATAGCAGGTCTTTCATTCAATTCCGGTAAGTACTCTTTTAACCATCGTTTCCAAAACTGATCTGAAAAGGTTTGGACAATTTTCCACTGCCGCTTCAGGTCTCTAGAGGTTGTCCAATAGAAGAACCGATCAAAAAGTGGTTCGGGGTCAAACTCTCTGGCGAATCGGGATCAACTGGTTGATTAGTTCAAAACTCCTTCAATTTTGAAGAATGTTGTAATAAGTACTTCATCTTTTGGGTAGGTCTCTTTCAATATAACATCATGGTGTCTTCTGACGAATTCGCATCTTCCAGATCCCTCGTAGTGAAGCTGGTGGATTGAAATGCCAATTGATTATGTTTGTGACCATTTTATTCGTCAACTCCTTTTGATCTAATTGTTGTACGTAGTCGTTTAAGCGCTATCACCATGGAAAGTGTGTTCAAAGTCCAAGACAATTTAATTCTTCGTTATGAACAACTTTTTGTACTTCTCTGTACCACGACTTGTCTGATATTTCTATTTCATCTACAGTCAACGGTTTCTTGTTTTTCTGTTATGTTCTACAGTTCATGACCCAAGCTGTCGTAGGATCTGGAAAATCTGTGTGAAAATCTCGATTATTTTTGATTTCCAAAGTTTGAAATATAATTATCCCACTAAGCAAAGTAATATGTCAACGATATTGCAGCAATATTTCAATGTTATGTGTAATGTTACATCAGATATTGTCGCTATCTTACTGCAAGGTCGCAGCAACTACTGAAACGGACGTTCAGCAATATTATGAATGTAATGTTCGTAAATGAATCATTCCAGCAGAGTTATTGTAACATTGTGTATGAAGTAAAGTAACATTTCATACACAATGAAAGAATGTAATCTTATTGTTATATTTTATCAAGGTTACTGGCAACATAAAATAAAAAGTATAGAAAAATTACATATTTTATATTATAAATTATACATAGTAACAATATTCTTATAATCGAATAATCGTGTCGACTATTTTATAATTTAAAACTAGGTAAATTGAGGAAATTTCTGAATATTTTCGATATAACGATACTAGGGCACTGCACTGCATAAGATCCTGGAACAAAGGAAATAATGATAAAATAAAATAATCAGGAATCTACCTGTTAGTTGAGTTAGTTCATCTACCGGTTAAACTTGAGAGTTGAGGATTGTATACTTGATTTTGGAAATATTCATTTTCCAAGGTATGCTGAGAGTATCCTTATAATATACACTGAAGATAATATGAATATTTCTCAGCATCTAGAGAATATTCTGAAGAACGATTTTTGAGGTTGTTTTAGAATGAATTGTTCTCAAAGTTTTTTCTACAACAGCTGAGTGCAGTAAAATGAGAGATAAGATTTGATGATTTGAGCAATGATTCTACCATCACCATGAGGTTAAACAAAACCTCAATGTCCCTAAGTGTTTCAGTAATAAAAATGATTGATTTTATATAATTTGTAATGTTTTATAAAGTTCCTGATAAAGAGCCGATAAAGACCCGAAAGCTCAAACAGAAACAATAAAAGAGTAGGTACACTTTGATTCACTTTGACTGCACACTCAATGGAATTCACGAGGTTGTACTATAACTTTGAGTAGGTATACGAATAATTATAATCGTTCTATGTTATTTATTGTCGATCGTACGATCCGCTTAGATCAATGAACGATGTATGAATTTGTAAAATGTATACCTAACCTAGAATAACTGATGTTGACTTACCTAACCATCAACTGCTAACTGCGATTCAAAACCTTCCCAACTGCCTAATATCACATATCACCAGATCACCACTTATACCTTAATTTATGTTCCAAAGTATATTATTTATTGGTATCATTTGCCATTTGGACGTGTACAACAACAAAATACCTATTACCGAAGCCAAACACCAACAAATATGGCGACTAAGATACTGGCGTTTGTCGAATGCAAGTTTGCGACTGCGCGTAAGCATTTCATGAAATGGCGTCTCGATCGATACCCAATGTAGCATTTTGTATATTTCAGCTATATTACATTTTTTAATCAAATATTTATTGCATCCCATAATTTGTAGCAATATTGTTTGTAGTTAGCTTATGTTATTTACAAACTCAA